TGGCCACCTCGTGCCTTTTACCAGCCTGAACCTACTTCGGCCAACATTGTGTGACGAGGCAATCGGTGACTAGGCATACGTAATACGTGTCGCAACTATCTTGGCCGATGAAGGTTCATAACCTTGTCGTCAACAGATTTACCTCTACTCCCTAAAACTCTATACCTGACGTCTGCGTTACTCACGTGGTGACACCACGGAATACGGCTTATACTACGAAGGCGACGGTGGTGAAACACCTGAAGCCAGTATTCTCATGTCTTCCACCTTCAATGGCCATGTTTCACAGCCATATAGTAGAACAGACCTGACTGCTGTGCAGAACACGTGACCCTTAATAGACAATCAGATATGACGACGGCGCCATAGGCGGCGAGCCAGCCAAGCCTTTTGTATCTGTACAGAGATTTCATCGGCCACTGAGCCACGAGGCAGGGCTGATCCTACTTCCCAGTTAGCATCATAGATGACTCAATTTGGCAAATGCCAAACGGGCTTTCTCTATCCGAGCTAAGATTTCGTAAGTGAAGTGGTCGACACATCCCATCACTTCACTCTCTATCACTAAGCTCTTTCCAAGAACACTATTAGTATAACGGACAGATATCTTAGAAGATTTACTGGTAAAACTTTAAAGAAATAAACACCCCCCCCCCCCCAGCTTATTACGGTTACAAAGAAAGTTTTGGTGATGAATCTGGAATTCAAAGTGGATACCACAGTCGGTGTTAAAGAGACGTTTATCGAAGTAGATCAACAGTACCTTGTGTTCTGTTAGACTTGAGTTGATATTCTCTAACCGTCATCTGATTTGACAGTGAGTGAATGATACGCCACTTCTTTTAGTAACATGTAAGTGTATTCACAAATTCACATATTTGTATATATCCGACTATATTGAACACTATAAGCGGGTGTTGCAAAACTCTACTGAGCGAAGAAAAACTTAACTCCATCCATATACGACCAAATATTGTTATATAACCCTAAACTTGCATAGATTTTATCTCCTGCCCTGCCTACAACCTTAAAGTATTTCATGTTGTTGTCGTAGACTGACATCAGTTGAAGGTATAAAGGAAACCGAGGAGCACTGGACAGCTGTTCCGCCCTAGTATGAGACTCCTCAGCACTGCGCACCCACGGCCCCATCAGCGGGGATCGAACCGACGACCTTCAGATCCCGCGGCCAGCGCGTTACCGATGAACCACTGGGTCAGAATCCAATGCTCCACATTTCCAACTTCTGTTAAATTTAATTGAACTGGTGCTCATTGATGACTAGCTTCAAGAAGTATTCCCGAAGTTCCAATGAGAAGTCGTGACCGGTGGAGTCAAAGCCTGATGGCCATGAGCACATATACTCAGCGTTGACATTGGGTGGCGGTTAGCGCTATATATCGTGAGCTAAGAGAAGTTGGAAATATGGAGCATTGGATTCTGACCCAGTGGCTCAATGGTAACGCGCTGGTCGCGGGATCAACCCCTGCTGGTGGGGTCGTGGGTGCGCAGTGCTGGGGAGTCCCATACTTTGACAGAACAGCTGCCCAGTGCTCCCAAGTTTCGTTTGTTCCTCCAACTGGTGTCAGTCTATGATAACAACATGAACTAATTCCAAATCTCCACAACTCCCTCAAGATTTAACCTTAAAATAACCTACGCTGTTGCTTGCTTTTCTTCCCTTTCCTCCCAAAACTGGACTTCTATTGTTTGTTGACTATTTTAAGGTCATTTACAAATTTATATATTCAGCATCGCTGACTGTTGGTGACACAGTAAAAGATTACTGTCAACGGTCTGTCTTATTTTCTTGTCTTCATGTGTCGCTGTTATTGTTCTTACGGCGGTTGATGCTCACATTAGCGTTAGAGTCGGTTTATTTGCACGTTATGTTTTCGTATCATTTGCAGTCTGCTAGGTACTTCTCCTTTACAGTTTATTGAGAAATTCGTACGAATAATAACGACAACACGAATAGAAAGGAGTTCACAGTCTACATTGTCTTACCCTATAAGGAAGGAACATCAGAAACTTTATGTAGGATCCTCAACAATGCTGAAATTAGTTATGGTGGCATTGAAACCTACTAACTCACTGAGAGATATGTTTTGTCGGCTGGCTTAAGGATTCGACAGAACTAATTAAGCAGAGTAATCTAATCTATCAAATTCCATGTGATGATTGTGAGGTCAAGTACATCAGTGACACTAGCCGGTCGAGTTCAGTTAGAATAGCGAAAGCTGAGAATTTAGCTAAATATAGAATGAGAGACGCCAATAGGAACAATAGTCTAGAACAGAACTTAGTTAATTTATGCAATGCAGTAGATGTATTACCACACAACCACACAATTGGGTGGGTGGGATAAAACCACTGTACTGAAGTCCAGTATAGGGGGGGGGGATTGATCACTAAATGTTTGTTCATTGAATCATCACCTATCCAACACATATGGAATAGGAATGACACAACACTTATGCATACCAGAGATATAAAAAGCTTCACTTCCAATACAAACAAAGAGTATGAGGTGACATAATTATAAAAGGTAGAAGTCGAAGGTGGTGTAAGATTACACACTGATATGATTATGCTCGAAATGTCATTCAGTAAATGGTATACTATATCACTGTATATTATCAATCAAATAAACAAATCTAATATGAAGTTATTCGAGAGATTTGGTTACAATATAAGTGGATACAAGTATATATGCAAACAGATGAGTTTTGTAAGTTCGCTGAAAACTTATCTTTCTCTATCTCTTCGACTTCGCTCGTGTAACTGTAACAAGAAACAACAATCTGCAAAACAACAGCTCTAATCTTTTCAATTATTTCTTATCAGATTGTATAATTATCAACTGAATTTATTTGTACACCATAAAATCAAGTTTAGACTAGATGATGATGTAATCAAATCAAGTTTTTGTATATGAATACAATGCTCAAATAATACATTTATATCCACTTAATTAATTCTCTTATGTCTATGGTGTAAAACTGAGATATAAGAGATAGATAGAAATTTCATTCGTTAACCATAATATGGGTTTCCCAACAAACTTACTTTATAGAGTATGATTTATGTATTCAGAAGATTATAGTCTCAAATTTGGTGATATCTCGTAAAGTGTATAATTCCTTTGTGATATGTTTACTTCTAACTTGGTTATATTGTTATGACCGGTAGTATGACCTAACAGACTACGAGAGATGCAAACCTGGTAGATTACAAATGATACGAAAACATAATGCACAAATAAATCGACTTTAACGTTAATGTGAGCATCAACCGCCGTAAGAGCAATACCAGTGACACATGAAGATAAGAAAATAAGACAGACTGTTGATAGAGAGCTGTTACTGTCTCACCAACAGTCAGCAATGCTGAATATATACATTTCTAAATGCTCTACTACAATGCCAAAGTTTCACAGTTATTATATTAATCAGAATAACTGACATTATGTACTCGAGTTAACCACCTAGGATCTAAACAACACTCATACTGGATTTGAATAAAACTCTAGAGATTATTTACAAACAATATTAAATATAGAAGTGGTATTCATCATGGGGTGACATCCAGTTGGGGAACCATTGAAACTCTGGGAGCACTGGACAGCTGTTTCGTCCAACTAGTATGGGACTCCTCAGCAGTACGCACCTACGACCCAGGTTAACGATCAAACTCAGGATCTTCAGGTTTCACGGCTAACCCATTAACCATTCAGCCATTGGATCGGTTTCCAATGGTTCACAATTTCCAACTTCTGTCAATTCACAACATAGCGAGACTGTCGTGGATGCGTACTGCTTAGGAGTCCTATACTAAGATGAGACGACTATCCAGTGCTCCCAGATTTTCAATGGTTTTCCAACTAATATCAGTCTATGATAAATTATTATTATTATTATTATTAGTCCCTTGGGTTCCTAGTGGAACATACGGCTTCAGTAGCACGTCTCCAGTGACCTCTGTTCTCTGAGATCTTTTGAACCTGGTTCCACGACAGCCCAGAAGCTCTCATTTCTTCCTCGCACGACCTCCTCCATGTCACCCTCATCTAGGACGCCCAAATCGTCGCTTCCCATCTGGGTTCCACTCGACGGCCTAACCTGGCGCGTGATGTCCCCAGTCAGTCTTCTCAGTGTATTTCCAATCCACCTCCACTTCCTTCCAGGGCATATTTGTTCAGCCATAGGTTCTTGCTTCGTTGGTTCGTTGCCAGCCAGCCAGAGCTCCTTGTTGCTTATTCTTATTATTCTGGCCATCTGATCTTCAGTAGCGAGCCAGCGTAAGCAGTTGTTGATGAATGTCTGTAGTTTATTGGAAATGCCTTTCGTGACGCGCCAAGTCTCTGAACCATACAGAAGCACTGGCTTGACGTTGGTGTTGAAAATCCGTATCTTGTTCCGCATGCTGAGTGCAGAAGATCTCCACACTGGTTTCAGGCTAATGAACGCCTGTCTTGCTTTTCCGATTCTGACTTTGACGTCCTCGTCCGTCTCGCCTGTAGTTGAAACAGTGCTTCCTAGATAGGTGAAGGAGGTTACTTCCTTCAAGTTTCTCCCGTTGACGGTGATTGGAGTTTGTTGTTGTTGTTGATGGTGGTGGTGCGGTATCTTCATCACTTTTGTCTTCTCTATATTCACCTGAAGTCCCGTCTTAGCTGCCTCTTCTATCAACTTGTTAGTTTTTGCCTGTAGATCTTCAAGTTTGTGTGACATTAGGCACAAGTCATCGGCGAAATCCAAGTCTTCTAGGTTCTTTTCTGCAGTCCAGCCAGTGTATCCCCCTATTCTCGCTGCCTACTGTTTGCTGCATGATCCAGTCGACCACAATCAGGAATATCATGGGGGGGGGGGATAGTAGGCAACCTTGTTAGTCTATGATAAATACTACTTCTAAAATAAAAATCTCCATTCACTTCAAAAATATTAAATATGTTTTATTCTTGGTTGTGGTTTGTTTTTTTTTTTCTGGTTAGAATATAATTATACAATAACAGATTTTGTAGAAAGTGAAGTCTTCAAATTCTCATTATACTTTTTAACTAATTCCATTGTACATTCAACTAAATGACTATGATCAATTTCTAGGCGTTTATTGGCTATAAATTCATTTAAATTATAATTCATCTGTTCATGTTGAATCCAACGACGCTCTAAATTTGTTAAGTGGGCATATATATCTTGTTCTGATAAATTTGTTTGTAAATTTGTATATTCAATGGTTAATTGTTGATTCATTTTATTCAAATTATCTCGATACATTTCAAAACGTGATTTCTCTGTATTCAACTAAAAGTTTACAAAAAGAATAAATAATAAATTCAATTCAAAGATTTGTTAACAATTTATTAGTAATGATGTATATTGGCTAGCAATGAAATCCAAGATATACATTTCGTACTATTTGAGGCTCATCAGCTGGATGTATCTACCTCTCATTGAATGTTGCTTCCACTGGGATTTTGACTTCATATCGATCGCTTCAAACGTCAAAGCATTACCCATTACACTATCGGGGAGACGATAGCCACCTCTTGTACAACGGGTATAGGTTATTAGTATAATTGCTTGTATTATACCGTGGTTGAGTGGACTGGACTGATTGGTCGCTATTGGTATACGGCCTCCTGTGTAGATGCTTCAATATTACCCGTGTTTTAGTTGTAGTAATGATGGACAGTATATGGACGCATCCGCACAGGAACCCATATGCCAATAGAGACTGATCAATTCGGTCCAATTGAATTCTCTTTTAACACTGTCGCTATTATCACCATTAGTAGTGGGATTATTATTAATAACACCTGTATTACTACTACTGCTACTACCACAACTAATAGTTTTTTTTCAATTTCTTATGAATTTATTCATAAGTTTTCGTGGGTAATTAGAAATCGAAAGAAAACTATTAGCTGTGGTAGTAGTAGTAATACAGGTGTTATTAATAATAATCCCACTACTAATAGTGATAATGGCGACAGGGTTAAGAGAGAATTCAAAGCCTCTACTGTGCTACCATAAAAAGAAGGCACCTCAGAAACACTACGAAGAATTCTCAATAAGGCTGAATGGGATTAAAGTGGCATTCAAACCAACAAACTCACTTATAAACAAGCTTTGTAGGTCAAAAGATCCTATCGATGCAATTAAGCAAAATAATCTGGTTTACCAGATTCCTTGCAATGATTGCGAGGTCAAAGCAGTCGACTAGTTAGGGTCGATTAGAATAACAGAGCACAAAAACTTAGCTAAATCAAGATCAGTAGATGCTAATAAGATAAGAAATTTAGAGAAAACCTGGGCTTTAGCTCTGCATGCGATGACACACAATCACACAGTAGGGTGGGATAGGGTGACAGTGTTAAAAACTAACTTAGTTGGGTGGAGGGAGAGATTGACAACAGAATCTTTGTTTATCGAGTCAACACCAAGCACATGCAATCGAAATGATTCTGCACCTGTCCCAGATATATGGAAAATTCTACTACCCTTATCATCACAGAGGAGAGAAAACTAGGAATATATAAAGACTGTCTCGAAGTTGTGGAGTTACCTGATATGAATATGGACAATAAATTATGTCCGAAACGTTATCCAGCAAATGCTACTGTTCCACTGTGTGATATTTCTAATAAACAGACTAAAATGGAATTACAATCAACCATAGTGCCCAAGTTTACTCTTATATTAGTAGATCACTTTATTTTCATTCTTGAAGTGTATTCTACAAGGTATTTAAAAAGACACAGAAACTAAAGAATTTCAGTAATCATTCCTTTTGGGATCATTTTCTTGATCTCAAAAAAAATTTCTAGGTTACTGGTTAAGTTCTCTACTCACTCAGTTGTTGACTTGTTTCTTACTTTTTTTTAATCATTGACCGATTCCTGTGTGGACATTTTGACATGGCTGATATTATTGGTGAAATGGTTATCATAACTCAGTGATCTAGTGGGATAGAACTCTGATATTTGGAGACTAGTGAAATGTTTCATTGATAAACTTACAGTTTGTTTTTTTAAATTAGCATCTTCACGAACTTTCTCTAAATCACTGAAGATAACAATCTCCTCTTCCATTTTACTGATATGCTTTCGTAAACTTTCCATTTCCTTAGAGAATGAACAAAAAAGAAAAGAAGAACGAAACCTAAACGAATTTATTCTGATTGATCAGATAAACTTTATGTGTACCATAACAGTTGTGTTCATTTGGTTTATAACACACAGTGATACAGTATACCATTTACTGGATGACATTTCGAGCATAAATCATTACTGCTAATAATCATATCAGTGTGTAATCACACTTCTTTCAATGTCTAATTTCTATAGTTCTCTCACCTCACCAGCTAAGATGTGATGGCGATACATGGATGATGTATTCACTACTGTATTGAAATCTGAACATATCGACAATTTCCTCATAAATAAACACACTTACGGGTAGAAAATTATATTATTTATTATTATTATTAGTCCCTTGGGTTCCTAGTGGAACATACGGCTTCAGTAGCACGCCTCCAGTGATCTCTGTTCTCTGAGATCTTTCGAACCTGGTCCCACGACAGCCCAGAAGCTCCCATTTCCTCCTCGCATGACCTCCTCCATGTCAACCTCATCTAGGACGCCCAAATCGTCGCTTCCCATGGGGATTCAACTCGAGGGCCTGACGCGTGATGTCCTCAGTCGGCCTTCTCAGTGCATGGCCAATCCATCTCCACTTCTTCCTGCATATTTGTTGGGTGATAGGTTCTTGGTTGGTTCGTTCCCAGAGTTCCTTGTTGCTTATTCTTATTATTCTGGCCATCTGATCTTCAGTAGCGAGCCAGCGTAAGCAGTTGTTGATGAATGTCTGTAGTTTATTGGAAATGCCTTTCGTGACGCGCCAAGTCTCTGAACCATACAAGAGCACTGACTTGACGTTGGTGTTGAAAATCCGTATCTTGTTCCGCATGCTGAGTGCAGAAGATCTCCACACTGGTTTCAGGCTAATGAACGCCTGTCTTGCTTTTCCGATTCTGACTTTGACGTCCTCGTCCGTCTCGCCTGTAGTTGAAACAGTGCTTCCTAGATAGGTGAAGGAGGTTACTTCCTTCAAGTTTCTCCTGTTGACGGTGATTGGAGTTTGTTGTTGTTGTTGTTGATGGTGGTGGTGCGGTATCTTCATCACTTCTGTCTTCTCTATATTCACCTGAAGTCCCGTCTTAGCTGCCTCTTCTATCAACTTGTTAGTTTTTGCCTGTAGATCTTCAAGTTTGTGTGACATTAGGCACAAGTCATCGGCGAAATCCAAGTCTTCTAGGTTCTTTTCTGCAGTCCAGCCAGTGTATCCCCCTCGTCTCGCTGCCTACTGTTTGCTGCATGATCCAGTCCACCACAATAAGGAATATCATGGGGGGGGATAGTAGACAGCCTTGTTTCACTCCTGTCTTCACTTCGAAAGCATCACTGAGCTTCCCATTGTGAATTACTTGGCATGTGGCGTCGTCATATATCTTCTGTTGAACGAGGTTGATAAAGGTTTGTGGTATTCTGTAGTGTTGAAGCAGTTGCCAGATTACTTCTCGGTCGACGCTGTCAAAGGCCTTCTCAAAGTCGATGAAGTTGAGGCAGAGAGCTGATTGCCATTCTATGCTTTGTTCTATGATGATGCGAAGCGTTGCAATTTGGTCTGCACATGATTTGTACTTCCTGAAGCCTGCCTGTTCCGGTCGTAGTTTTGAATCCAGTGCATCCCTTAGCCTCTCCAGGATGATGCGGCTTAATATTTTACTTGGGGTGGACAGGAGAGTGATTCCGCACCAGTTCTTGCAAGCACTGAGGTCTCCCTTCTTCGGCAGTTTGACAAGGTAACCCTTCTTCCAATCGTCCGGTACCTTCTCTTCCTTCCACACCTTCTGCAATAGTGGTGTGAGCATGTCTGCTGTTGTCTCTGCGTCTGTTCTCAATGCTTCTGGCGGTATCCCGTCTGGTCCTGCTGCTTTCCCACATTTCAGTAGCTTTATGGCGTTCAGGACTTCCATTTTCGTTGGGGGATTTATGTTCACTTGTAATTCAGCGGCTGCAGGTGGTATTTCTGGACGAAGTGCAGGTGGTGGTCGATTCAAGAGCTTCTTGAAGTAGTCGGCCCATCGTTTCCTCTGTTTCTCTTCTTTTGTAATTAAATTTCCTTCTTCATCTTTTATTGGTTTCATCTGTGTTGGTCTCTTCCCTGATAGCAACCTGGTTATTTGATACAATGTCGTCAGGTCTCTCTTACCTGCAGCCTGTTCTGCTTCACTTGCCAGTGTTTCGTTGAAGTGTCTTTTGTCTTTGCGTGCACTCTTCTTCACTTCTTTGTCCAGTGTTTTATACATTGTGCTCAGTTCCTCTTGTCGTTGAGCATAATTGCACTGGTTTATCTTCTGCTTCACCATCCTCCTCTCCTCTATCAGCTTCCAGGTATCCGTCGAGATCCATTCCTTGTCTTCTTTCTTCTTCCTTCCTAATACTGTTGTGCAGGTTGCTTTCCACATAGCTTTCAAAGACTTCCAGTGTTCTTCCACACAGGTTTCTTCAGGGATGTTGCTCGATGTCTCCCATTTTGTCTTGATGGCTGCCTTGAAGATCTCCTTTGTAGTTTCATCCTTCAGTTTCCGAGTGTTGTACTTGAATTGAGGTCTATCACCAGCTTCCTTGAAGGCTTTTAACTTGATTTGGAAGGTTCCTTGCACTAGATAGTGGTCTGAACCTACATCTGCCGGGTAGAAAATGAACAAGGAGAATTGCCTATATTGAATTGCAGGATAAAAAGAAGGACTGTGATTTGGATACTATAGCCTACAGGAAACTGACATATTCTAACAGGTATCTAGACTTCAAATTATCTCATCCAATGACAGTGAGTCAAGGTGGGTTTGGTCAAATATTTAAATGATAGAGCTAAAAAACTGACTAGTCAATGGAAGGACCTAAACAAGGAACTGAAGCACATAAAGGTAGCCCTAATATTTAATACTTCTTTACAGTTTATTGAGAAATTCGTACGAATAATAACGACAACACGAATAGAAAGGAGTTCACAGTCTACATTGTCTTACCCTATAAGGAAGGAACATCAGAAACTTTATGTAGGATCCTCAACAATGCTGAAATTAGTTATGGTGGCATTGAAACCTATAAACTCACTCAGAAATAAGCTTTGGCTTACGGATCTGATAAAAACCAATTAAGCAGAGTAATCTGAGCTATGGAATTCCATATAGTGACTATCAGGTCAATTGGATAGGTGAAACTATACGATTGAGGTCAGTTAGATTATCGGAACGTGGAAATTTAGCTAAATATAGAATGATGGATCGCAATAAGATTAGTAATCTGAAAGGAAACTCGGCTATTATAATGCACACAATTGGGTGGGTAGGATAAAACCAATGTACTCAAATCTAATATAATTGTGAGTAGAGAGACAGAGAGAGAGAGAGAGAGAGAGATTGACTACTGAATCTTCATCGAATCAACACCCGTCCAACACATGTAATAGGAATGACGCAACACCCATGCATACCAAAGATATAACAAATTTTGTTACTAATAGAAACAAAGAATAAGAGATGGGTGACAAGACTATAAAACGCAGAATTCGGAAGTAGTGTGATTATACATTGATATGATTATGGGCAGTGATAATTTTTCCTCGACGGTTCATCAAGTAAATAATACTGTATCAGTGTGTGTTATAAAATGAATAAACAAATCTAATGTGAAATTTATGCTCTACTACAGTTTCCAAATTTTAGTAAATCTCGTTTATCATCATTGAAATCAACATAGGATCAGGGATTACTGCATAACCGTCCAGGTTGTCACGCCTTATCATATCAGCAAAGCACATATCCATACCTCTGATGATAAAATTTTGACTAGTGATGCTTGCTGACCGATTAGATGGAGAGTAAAAACATTCAAAGTTCCGATTTGTAATTTTTTACATTGATTCAGAACACTAATGATGCTTTTTCTGTTAACTTAGATCATTGTCAAACACTAATTTGCCAAATGTGCATTCAAAGGAGATATCAAGTCGCAAAGAATTGAAGTAAGGATCAAAGTAGCTTTGGAGAAAAGTTTTTCTCCAGTGAAAACTGTATAAACATATGGTAGTATGTACTCATTCAACAAGTACAAACGAGGATGAAAACTATACTCATATCCCTTGTAACATGGTTTGCGAATTAATATTCAATTATGGTACAATGACATTGGAAAAATTAAAAAAGTCATCTATTTTGTTCTCTAAGCACATTATGAATATCATTTGACTATCTGAGATAGCATTCGTGGTTTGACAGACTATTATTTATACCGGGTGATGACTGAAGATGAATTGAATATTTGAACCACAGCCGGGTTCGCACCAGCGACCACCGAGTTCCCGGCTAGATGCTTAGTTGGTAAAGCATCGAGATAATAGTTGTCTTTCTGTAATACGTGTTACTGCTTCAACAGCATAATTATTTATTTATTTTCTTGTATGCATCATAAGAAAGAAACTTTATATTGAATGAGTCTATGACTGTGTGCTGTACTCTGAGCTTTGAGGCTTATTCTTGGAGGTTTCATCACCATTTACTTCGTACAGAACTGAAGCATCCTTAAGCTGTATGAGTGTTTAGGAAGAAGATTTATTGACCTTGAGTGTTGCTCGCTTGTCATTAGGAGTGAATGTATCTTTATAAGTGAAGTGTTACCATTTGACAGATGCTGTCGACCTAACGTTAGATTACCGATTTGTAATTTATTGATTACCATTTAGTTTGCGTAACATGCTTCTACAAACTTTCTGGAAGTTTTTGCACCTGCTACTTGTTTTAATATTTCAGAGTTTTTACAATCGAAGTTTTGATCGCATGCGTCTACATGCATCGATACCAATGGTGATGCATTCTACTGTTTGACTACAAGTTGATATTTATAAATTCTTTAAGAGCGATCCGACGACTGGATTCTCCAACATCACGATGTTGACAGTCGTTGGACCTTCTTTTTTTCAGATCATATTTATTTTATCTTCTTCTGGTAGTGGCGCTTTAAGCTAGTATAGGATGTTCTACAAGGATTTTGTTGGTTTGTGTGCTACGGTGATCCTAAATAAATCTAATAATCAGTCGACAGTTTTGGAGACATCTTTGATATATGTAGTAGAATGATTCATTTTGTGGGTTGGGTTAATTGTCCCAATGTGTGCTCCGTTGATAAGCATTTCATGATGAAGTTGTCTGGATTGTCATTGGCTCAGAACACTTTGTCAGGATGCTTTTCTACTGACTTCTACAGTTGTTGGGTGTTGCAGTGAATTGCGACAACGGAGAAATAGTACATCAAGCAAGCTAAAAAACGGTAAGACAGTTCTAGTTCACCGCCATTCAACAGATACGTGGACATTGGTCCAATACACAGATCACTATGAAGGCATCATTCAACTGGTAATCAGTCCATTCAACCAATCAATCAATCAGACATCAGGTCAGCAGCACAATCAGAAAAGTTTGCGGGACAGGTCACTCTGCATCAACAAGCCAATAACGTTAAAGGTAGAGAAAATTGCCTTTATAAGCATTCATGCAGATTAAAAATGCCTCACTTTCTACGAATTAAATGTTGATGAAGTCACCTAGAATGTTGAAGAAACGTCTATAAACAAGCCTAAAGTGTTGCTATATAGGTGACAAGTCAATACTTTCCTTTCTGTTTAAAGCATCCGTTGATGTTAGAATATGTAAGGCTTCTGATGTCAATCTCTGTTTATGTGCAGGGAAACCCTTCCGTAGTATGTTAATTAATTAATCAATCAATCAATACCAACATAGGACCAGACATTAGTGCGTAACGCTCCGAGTTGCCACACCTCATATCACTACATCCAATAGAAAGGCAGTGAGGTGAAGGATGAAGATAAGAGAATGCAGCCAAAAGAAACATAAAGTACAGGAAGAAAGGAATAAAGAATGACAAAATGGTAAGATTCGGTACAGCGTTGTTAAGGTGAGGATAATATGTGTATACATCTGCGCCACTGACATCGGTTCCCAGCCATATCACCTAGAGTCTTCAACCACTGGTTCCTCTTGTCCTGCGGACCCCAACCACCTAGTCTGCGTCGCCCCACATCGCTCAAACCAACAATCAGAGATTTCATGCATTGGTGCCATGTTTTAGTCTGGCCACCTCGTGTCTTTTACTAGCCTGAACCTACTTCGGCCAACATTGTATGACGAGGCAATCGGCAACTAGGCATACGTAATACGTGTCGCAACCATCTCAGTCGATGAAGATTCATAACCTAATCGTCAACAGATTTACCTCTACTCCCTAAAACTTTACATCTAACTTTCAATGGCGTGCATTGCTACTACTGACCTCATCTAATACTTACCTGTAAGATTTTATTTTCTAAATGATCAATCTTCAATAATTCTTGACTTAAACAAAGACGTTGTTTTGTTAAACTGTTCATAGTCTCTTCAGATTTATCGCTTTCATTTATTTGTTCATGTAAATTGTTCATGTTAGCGGGAGTTCTATTATTATTATTATTATTATTATTATTATTATTATGTTGTTGTTGTTGAATGTTACTTTCGTCTTGATTTATAATTCCATTCAATGATAATGTTGATAAATCGAAAGTTCGCGTAATTTGATTTAAGTTGGTAATATAATTTGATGTTTTTTCTAAGATTTCAATAATATTTGATTGTAATCCACTGATCCTAACGATTTCTAAAGACTATACAATTGAGAAGAATGAAAAGAGATAAAGAAATGATAAGATTTTCTGTTGCTATTACACAACTGAATTACTTGATCTTTTTTAAAAGATTCGCTTTTATACAGTAACCTTAACACTCCTGAATACTGATACGACTTTAGTTTTATATAATGGAATACAGAATGCACATTTCCTTCTACACAAGACTCCTCAGCTGAATATATCTTTATCCCAAGGAGTAATATTGTTCCTTCTACTGATGAATCACTTTAAAATAAGATAAAAAGCTCAGGTCCTGAATTTCACTTTCAGCTTATACTATCCATCAATAATATGAAAATTGAAAATATTGACAATTTTGAGGCATTTGTACAAGATTTCATGTCCTAATAATCATCCAATCAGTGATGAGGAATTACAATCTATACCATGGAAATGGTGATAATAATAGAATTTAGTAAAACAAATAATGTGAGCGAAGAAATATTTCTTTTCAATTAGTTCCTCATCAATGAATGGCTCTACACTAATATATGTAGCATTTTCAAATGTAGAATTACATACCAATCTAGTGGTAAGAGTTGTTCAATGAAAGGTTATCAATCTCAAAGTATCAAGAAGGTGATAATTGATCAGGTGGTAATTAAGACAGTGTTAACTAAAGCAGAGATTAATTATGGTAGAAAGATTTTGTGAACAGGTTCTTACATAATTGATATTTTGTATAATGATAACTAAAGAGCAAAAATGAACTGTTACGTAAAATGGTAAATTGTTGACGGAAATTAGAGACAGTAGGGGAAGAGAAAGATGGTTAGGTCTGTAATAATAATAATAATAATAATAATAATAATAATAATGGAGCTATTGAAATATTATAGTGAATTGTGTGATGGATGAAATGAAGAGTCTTGTTGTAATAAATGAGTTATACAGATGGCCAAGGCAAAGAAAGAGGCCGTACGGGGAAACCAGACTGACACGAAGCTCAATACTCTCTCATCTGATTGACACCGGCCACCGAGTTAACATTCATAATGCCTTTAAAGTTATTTATCACATTCCTTCTCACCTCACCCATCCTCTACGAGTCCGTCTTTTACATACAGCAGAAGCCATAGGAATCCACCTACACAAGCCAAGTCTGTGTGTTCAGAAGAGATTCGTACAGTCTCTTTCTTTGCCTTGGCCATCTGTATAACTCATTTATTACAACAAGACTCTTCATTTCATCCACCACACAATTCACTATAACTAATATTTTAATAGCTCCATTATCATTATTATTATTATTATTATTATTATTATTATTATTATTATTATTATTATTATTATTATTACAGACCTAACCATCTTTCTCTTCCCCTACTGTCTCTAATTTCCGTCAACAATTTACCATTTTACGTAACAGTTCATTTTCGCTCTTTAGTTATCATTATACAAAATATCAATTATGTAAGAACCTGTTCACAAAATCTTTCTACCATAATTAATCTCTGCTTTAGTTAACACTGTCTTAATTACCTGATCAATTATCACCTTCTTGATACTTTGATATTGATAACCTTTCATTGAACAACTCTTACCACTAGATTGGTATGTAATTCTACATTTGAAAATGCTACATATATTAGTGTGGAGCCATTAATGAGGAACTAATTGAAAAGAAATATTTCTTCGCTCACATTATTTGTTTTACTAAATGTCTAAATGGGAATTTTTGTAATAATAGAATTCTTGGAGTGTGGTATTATATCAATCCACCTATTGTACAACATTTTAAAAACATTTATAATGGTATTGTTTAACAATATATAACAAAGAATAACAAGATTGTTGACTTCAGCGATATGATTACTGTTCACTATTACAGAACTGATTGATAAGATTCTGGTTTAACAGGATTTTTTTCATACAATAAGGTGGTAGGGTTGAATGTTTCTGCTTTGCTTCTGGTATTCCCAGACAATGGACATGTAAAGACGTGTGGATGCAGAAGATGCTTGTCATTAAATAAAATATTCTTAGTCAGAGTTGTCTACAAGAGTTCAGATGCCTATTCATGACTAGATTTATCAGGTGGATTACGGTTGCGCTACTTACTGTACTAACAGCCTGCAAAATCGTACACAATACAACGTAGTCTTTTTTCCAGAGTCCAGGAAAGAATAAGAAGGGAATAATAAAGTAAGTATAGGTAAAACATAGGGATTTATTCCAGAAAGTCTAAGTTTCCTAATATAAAATGTCAAGCTAGGGAGTTTTTCTTAGAAATCAGTAAGATATGAGGGGATCAAGAAAGATCAGAAGAAAAGTATAATCCAACATGAACCACCATTATTACATTCTCTATAGCAGAGCCATCATGACACTGAAACAATGTGCAAAGGTCTTTTTTCATGTCTTAAGCTAAAATTAACTAAATGACATTTGGAGGGATTTAGTGTAAGGTAATTTAAGGAAAACCAGTAACCAATTTCGTTCAACAAGTTATTAAACTGAGAACAATCAGAAGGGGAGATGATTAGCATGGATACTGTCAGGAGAAAGAACAGTACCTTAACGCACATTGGCTTCACTAAGCATCGAAGTAGAGCAAATTGCCTCTGTAAAGACTGTACTGTCTTCTTTCAAAAAAAATATGAATCAAGCAATCCAGGTTTCAATGAGACGTCTGGCAAGCTTATTTAATAAAATGTGTCTATGGAAAGAATGAAAGACAGAGATGTAATCTAAGAACGCAGATCTAACATATTTATCACTTTTTTTTCATACTGGCGATGATATTATGATGTAAAATAACTACAGTGTCTATGATACTCCTTCTAGGTTTGTAGGCAAGTTGATTTGGATTTCTGATAGCCTTCAAAGGTGGTTCAAATGAATGAAGCAACAGTTTTCCCATTTTTTTTTTTAAAGGAATAGTGAGGTTATTTCAATCGGTCAAAATTTCACTTTTTCTCCAGAAGATATATATTAAGTTACCGGAAGTATTTTAATTTCTTTCAAGGCGGTTGGTATATCATTTTTAGCAAAACACTCACTAAAAGTGTTTGTGAGTGGATGATATAGAATATCAGTACATTTTGTGAAAAGAATACTTTGTATGGCATCCTAGTTCGGGGCATTTCGAAGATTTCATTGAATTATACATGAAGAACAACTAGATAAGATGATATTCACAGGTTTACGTATGAATGACTCGTTTAATGTAAACACGTTTTCACAGGTTTCATTTCTAAGTTTTCTCTTGCCAGTAAAATCATTAAAAAGTCTTCATATACTACAAAGTTTTTAACATAATCTGCTGGTTATACATTAAGTTTAGGCGTTTTATATCAAACTTAATCAGATAGTCAAGTTGTTTAACACAAGTATTATCCTTCGATTTGTACAGTTTTTCTTTGTCTCTTTCCAGCTTTTATAATTGTGGAGAAGAAAATTCATCGAATCTTGAGAAAATTATTTCAGCTGAGCAGGAAATATCAAAGCAAAATTTAAGATACCATGTAATAATATCGATTGTGTCATCCGGAGCATCATTTCCAAATAGCTTGGTTGTTTAATCATGGAGAAGCTTTCATCGTCTTTCTAGACAACATCATCAGCACTAACCTCAATATGATATGAACTGTCAGTACCTCTCCATGAATGATTCAGTAGCTTGCCCTGATGAACTAGTTTCTGATTGGTTGTTTCCTTTGATTGTTGTGTCATTGACTGACTGAACAGAATTTCCTATGTGCTATTTCTCTGCTTGACCTCTAAGCTTTCTTACGTTTATCATTTTTCTCATTGGTTGATAGATTGGGTCTGTATCTATACATCTAGATATACTGACTGACTCACGTGAATCCCAAGCTTCTAGGAATTCTCTGATATTCTTTATGTTTCCTGTCTCTGTCCAACATTTCTACATTGCCAAGAATTGAACGCATATCCATAATTATCCGCGTGCATTGAAATTAGTGATGAAATGTCTTGACGTGTTCATGTAGACGAAGGTGAAGAGGCCGACCACTTTGTCCAATGTAGTATTGACTAGTTATTCCATCTGATTTTGTAAATGATATTCGGTTTGTCTTCTTTGCTTGTCGCATACTTTGGTCTGCATAATAGTGTTTGTAGGGAATTTGTTGCTTTATGAGCCACACCGATTCCAAGTGGTCTCAGCAATCTTGTCATGATTTCTGATACATCTTCTTTATGTATGGTAGGATGATGCGTTTGTTGTTTCTGTGGATGACTTTGTAGTTGATGATGTACGGGATAGTCATCTTCTGATGAAGTTTTGGGGTAGCCTTTCTTCTTTAAGGTGGACACCAAGTAATTTTCTTCGTTTCTCTGTGAGGTTGTTGTACTGCAAGCAACTAATTTTGTGCTTTGTTGCTATTTTAGTTGAGGATTTGATCAGTCACCGTGTGTTGGCTTCCTGTACATTTGGGCTTCCAGCTTTCTAATATTTATCTGACTGACTAAAACATCCTGGAATGATATTTGGTTGACTCCTTCTCCACTGTGAATTTGATGTCATTGAAAACGTTGTTGATCAAACTGTGAGTGTTATTTATATCATTTTTTTTAATGGTGACTAAAGTATTGTCTACATAGAGATTTGCTATCTAGACATGTAACAGCATGGACTGTGTCGTCCAAAGCATCATTTCTAAATGTCTCATATTCTATGTTCCGTAATATGCATTCGAATTTATTTATCTCATAATATGTAAAACTCCTCTTAGAATGATATCTAAGAGTATTTCTCTGCACTTTGAGATACATTTTGGCAGAACACGTATAATACAGTGAACTCAATAGTGGTGCACACTTCTGAATCTCATATGTTCCAGGTTAATTTACCCAGACCAAGTCTAAGGTGACAGACAATCACCAATGAATTAGACATTAGTGGAGCAGTAAATTCCTTGAATTTTTCAGGGAATTCAGATAATTCAGAAAAGCTGCAACCAGAAGTGATATAAACATCAGTGATGTAAATGAATTCATATCTACCTAAGTGTTTTGGATGACACTTAACAGTGATATAGTCTATATTGTGATCAGAATAGGTGAAACATATATAATTTGATGAACACCATTGAATATTGATCAAGGTAGCTACATCTCCACAACACCTTTCGTTGAACTATACCGAAACCATTTAAATTGTCATGATATACGATATACAATCAAGTTGTTTGCAATGTTATTACACAAGTATTATGATAAACATTAGAAGGCATTGTAAATAGTCTATCTTATCCAGTAAGGATCTGCAGTTCCAGCTGTCTATTTCATATAGTGTCATTTGACGTGGTTTGGTTCGCTTTCAAGTGTGCTGCTATCCATTATAATGTCTTTTCCTATTTATATTTGTTAAATTCATAGTGTTAAGTTGATAACTTTTTAAAAGTTTATGTGAATATATGGGGTGATTCAAGGTCATAGGTGGACCGATTAAAACAAACTAAAACAGCGTAAACTTGATTTAATACATAGGATAGAAAGATTTGGTAACCCAAGGTTTAAGTAGACTGCTGCATCCGTTAGGGTAACTCATGAAGGTTGTGATGGTGAAAGAAAAAAGAAAAAAACGAGACCATCAAGAATAATGAAGAGGAGGACCTATTGTTTATAGAAGACAAAATGTATTCTTTATAAGTGCAGATAGAATTCACATTTCATTTTTATTGATTTATTACATTTATCACACTGTGAAGGAAGAGTGTTGTTTACTGGACTACGTTTCGAACATAATTTATTGTCCATAGTCGTCCTATTAAGATAACTACACAACTTTGAGATATTTGCTATATAGTCTTAATTTCCTTGTCTCTTTTGACATGGGTAGTAAGATTTTCCATATATCTGGAACAGGTGCTGAGTCATTCCTGTTGCCGCATGTGTTGGGTGTTGATTCACCACTTGTGGATCTGAGTACATCAGCCGTACCATGCGTCCGCTTGTTAAACGTGCCCGCGAACACTACCCAGCCTGGCTTGCAAAAGGAGAGTGGAAATGCATCTTCAGTTCGATAACAGAACACCTCGTGAACTCAGGCCACTTAGCTTCTTTCGACAGCTCATTCAAAATTCGCTACAGGGTTCCATCAAACCACTCGAAGGGAGTAAAATCAAGGCATCTGTCTATGGCTGAGGCACTAGCCATCCATAAGTCCAAACCAGCATTATGCGTGCAAAAAAAGGTACGTTCAACCTTTATCTTTGCCATGGCCATCATAAAGCCTTCAGTGTTATAGGTTCATCCTGTTTAAAGTAACTATACATGTATACCTTATTCATTTTTCTATCATGTCACGGCTTTAACCCGTATTACGTAATTATGATCGTATTTTCATAATACCCTGTTGATTCTCGTACTTTGTCATAGGTTTACCCGGTATTACATAATCGCAATTTTATCTCCATGATCCTTCGTTAAGTTTCCTACTTTGCCATACATTCATCCTGTATTAAGTTATTACATTTAATTTCATAATCCCCTGTCTATTTTCCCACTCTAAAAACAAATGTATATTAATTAACTTCCTTTCGTCATTCAGTATATTTCTCCCCCTGACCGAAAACAGTTCTGGAAAATTCTACCCACTGTAACATATATTCACGAATGTACAGCTTAGTAAATGACTTCATCGAAAAGAAAATTTTTCTTTGGTGAAACCACGTCTTGTCTTTCCCTATGATCAAATGGGTGTATTCCGCTTTTACTCTTATATTAAAAAATTCACATTTGGTCAACTATACTGCCACAGTGTCAGTGATGTGGAGTAGGCGCTGGCGAGTTTCATGTGGTAATGTTTTCAGAACACAGTTTGTACCACTGTGAGGTTTACTAGTATCCCAATGATTAAATTCCTTCCTCATTTGTAGTCATGTTTCTTACCTGAATATGACTAGTGGTCATCTGAAAAGATTACATAACCATTTAGAAATTTTACCCAGCATGATCATATTCAGAAGCAGTGATTCAAAAGTGCTCACAAAATAAAAGTGGAGCAAACAACTCCATTTACCAAAAAAAAGTTTACTTGACGGACTGATTTCAGTTGAATAACTACTGGAAACTTACAGGCGTTAGATAGCCGCTTCGTCCCACTATGAGACTCATCAGCAACCCGCAACCACGACCCTTCAACGGTATTGAGTTCTGGGCTGTCAGCTCTTCAGGCTAACACCAACCACCAGTCGAATTACTGCAGTATGTTTGCAAAGCAATTTATTTTTCATAGTCGTATCATGATAACTCTAAAACTCTGAGACAATTTACAAACTTCGTGTTCTGTCTCCTCCGTCATAGTAAGATTACTAGAACCTTGTTGAACTTGTCTATGCTATATGTAATGTACCCTTGTACTATGAAAGAAAATTAAGTCAAAATGTTCGACCCATCGGGCAAAGCTTATATCTGTTCAGATGATACTACCCATGAAGACCTTAAATTTATCTGTGGGCTACTACTCAGAAGTGATGAACATCCAGAAAAGTTTCTAGTTAAAAAAAATGAATTTCCAAGAATTCACTATACCTAAGACAGAGACTAAGGTATACCATTATTATTTATTATTTTTCCCCTGGGTTCCTAGTGGAACATAGGGATTCAGTAGCATGCCTTCATTGCACTCTCTTCTCTCCAGTCTTTTGAACCTGGCGCCACGAATGTCCACAAGCTTTCATTTCTTCCTCACATGATCTCCTCCATGTCATCCTTGCCTCGAACACCCAACACGTCGTTTACCCTCTGGATTCCACTCGAGGGCCTGGCCTGATGCTTGATTTCCCCAGTCCGCCTTCTCAGTGTATGCCCAATCCATCCCTACTCTCTTCTGCATATTTGTTGGGTGATAAGTTCTTGGTCTGTTCGTTCCCAGAATTTCTTGTTGCTGATTTTTTCTGGCCATTCGATTTTAAGTATCGAGCGAGCGTAGTCAAAAGCTGTAGATGAATGTCTGTAGTTTGTTGAAAATGCTTTTCATGATGTGCCAAGTTTTCCGAGCCATACAGAAGCACTGACTTGACATTAGTGTTGAAAATGCGGATCTTGTTCTTTGTTATGAGTGCAGAAGATCTCCACAGTCATTTTAGATTCATGAAAGCCTGTCTTGCTTTTCCGATCCTGGTTTCGATATCCTCGTCTGTGCCTGTGCCACCTGTAGTTGAAACGATGCTGCCTAGGTAGTTGGGTGAAAGATACTATTTCCTTCAGGTTTCTTCCGTTAATGGTGATTGGTGCCTCTTGTCGTTGATACTATTGTTGGTTTAATATCTTCGTCATCTCCATCTTCTCTACATTCACCTGAAGTCTCATCTTCACTGTCCTACCTCTTCTGTCAACTTGTTAGTTTTCGCCTGTACATTTTCAGATTTGTGCGACATGAGACATAAATCATTGGTGAAATCCAAATCGTCTAAGCTCTTTCATCAGTCCAGGGTATGCCCCTCTTCTCACTCCTCACGGTTTGCTGCGTGATCCAGTCGACCACAATCAGGAAGATCATTGGTGATAGTAAGCAGCCTTGTCTTACCCCTATCTTCACTTCAAAAACGTCACTGAGCTTTCCATTGTGAATCACCTGGCATATGGCATCTTCATAACGCAGTTGAATGATGTTGATAAAGACTAGTGGCACTCCATACCATAAGGAGCTCATTTAATGCAGCAAACTTATCCTGTGTATTCATGATGACTTCACGAATCGAAAACAGACTATCTAGATTCGCCTTACAATCTGCAGGTACCTTTCCTTCCTTCCAAACCTTCTGCAATAGAAATGGGGTAAGCATATTCGCTGTTGTCTCTGTGTCTGTTTCCAGTGCTTCTGGAGGTATTCTATCTGGTCCTACTGCTTTTCTGATTTTCAATAACTTTATGATGTTCAGGATTTCACTAGCGGCTGAAATGGTAACAACAACAACAACAACAACAAACCACTGTAAAAAAATACAAATGAAGCATTACTTACTTTGACACTATCGAATGTTTTCAAGAATTCATCAATTTGATGTTCACGTCTACGTAGTTCACGGTATTTTTGATTCCTTTCATTACAACTTTCATCTAATTCTTGTCGTAATAAACACAATTCCTCTTCCTTTTTTGTAATCTTCTCTTGAATTTCATGAGTTCTACAGTTCATTGAACAGGGAAAAAAAAACAAAAGATCTTTAATGAAAATAAATCAACGCCGAATAAACAATCTTATGTTATACTGTTCTATTTGACAACTTTAAAGCTAAAGAGGACTGAAGTTTCTCCTTACTGAGTAGCTATACATGAAGGATTAAATAGCTACGGCATGATGATAACTACTATGAAATCGATTGAAATCCAACCTTCCAGATGTAATGTAACTGGCTGAACTTTAAGATTGCTAGATGCCATAATATCATGGCATCTACACAGGACATGATACATTTATAGCAGCTGATAAATATCGTTCAATCAGTAATACGGAAATTACGAGCTCCCATATGAGACTCCACTCATTACTTAAGTTGATGGCTGTCGTAACCTATTAGCCTAGTCAAAAACGAACTCTCTCTGATATTTGAAACGGTGGGTTCTGAGTTGTACTTCAAGGTGGGAACAACATCACCCCAAATGAGGGTGAGCTAGCCAATTAAATACCATATTGAAATCCCTAGTCCGAGTAATGTAGTGAGGTGGTAGTCTTACACGATACCATCTATTAACCAATCAGAGACAGCATCGAATCAACAAACTACTCCTTAGTCAGTCAATAATCCCCTTGTAGAAGTTTAGAGATGACATCTTTTACTGAATGAAAGGACAGTACTGTCTACAACTTAAGTAGAGGGGAAATCACTTGAGGATTCAACACTGATAAACTCATTTCACTAATTATGACTATTTAGTAATGTAGATATATGTAGAAAACTTCTGTTCACCATCTTACTGTTTTTCAATTGCTGCAATCTCTTGATTATCGCTTCGAACTTGCTGTAATAAACGTTGACGCTCTTTGTGTGGATCTTCTTTCGACGCTTCATCAGCTAACAATTGATCTCGTCTACCTTCAACTTCATGTAGTTGAGAAAGTAGACGCATTGCTTCTTGTTTTATCTTGTTACAATGATAAAAGTTGAGTAAAAATTATACATATAGGTCAATACGGTAGTTAAGCAAAGGTGAAAGTTTAATTCCTGCCTCTAACTAACCATCAATTAAAACGGCAAAAAAACTATTTAATATTTAGCCATTTTATAATAGAACAACTTAAGTGGCACATTCATTTCAAATTTCTGTCCTTTTTCTCAGTGATAACTGATTAGTTTACAAATGACCTTCAGGAGGTCTGACGTCCTAGTGCATGTATGCGGTCAAGGTCAGTAGACAATGAATTTCAGTATAAATCGGCTGACCTTCGACCAATTTTATTTCAGTTACGCCCCCACAATGACGAAGTTTCCTAGCATTGGTCTGGTCATTTGGAAAGTAGAGATAGTTGCGAAATTATACATTAACCCAGCATCATCTTCAGTATACAGACTATAAACATGTTCTACATGCTAACATAGTATTCATACTGCTATTTGCTTCGCAGAATTTAAGTCTTTGCCTCTTAAAAGCACTCCTCTATGCTGGTTTTATACGAAAATTCATCCTTCATCTTTTGCTGGTACGAAACGATCGAAATGGAAACCAATATTTTAAGTCATCAACCGCTGAAATAGAACTTTTGTTTCATGACACTGTGTGATCTGAAAAAACCCTATTGGATAATTTTGTCCTTCAGCTGACCAATGAAAATAAAGATACAACTTTTGACCTAGTGATTTGTTATGATTATGGAAACTGAAGATAAATGATATTTTTGGTCGAGTAAAATCTCATCCTTATGGTCAATGACTGCTCTTTGTCTTCTCATTTTGGTTGCTCAGTGAAAAAGAATGTCTCGAGGGCGAACAATCGCTAATACCACCGAGTCTGAGTGCGTTATCATCGTTCGTTATCATTATTATTATTGCTTGTAAACGAATCAAACGGATGCCGAATTAGAAGATGAAACAAAAGTGCGTTCAATTTTCAGTGTTCATTGAAATCTAACAAAAAAAGGTGGCTAAATGACATATATAGTATATTAGTATAGAGCCAGAAGAGGAAGTGTATCGTAATCGGATCCATCTGTCAGTGGAATTCACAACTCACTATTGAATGTAAAACTTAACATTCGTTCTACGTTTGAACAGTGACTCCTTGAATTTTCCATGGGGACTTTGGTTAGTTGTTCACTTCGATAAAAAGAATAATACGGGATAACGATAGTGTATCTAGTAACGGCATACTTCCTTTCTCCCCTGAAGCCAGATGAGGTAAGGAAAACTTATTCAGCCCCCATATATCCAGCTAATGAGTCCTAAAAAGGACGAAACACGCGTTCCTGAACTCCTCTGTTGGTCACCAAGATCAATATGATTCAGCGTTTATTGCAGTGACACATACTGTCAAAAGACCTGTTCACCGATTGAATTAGATCTTAGACAAAGTAGATAAACGTTGAAAAGATGTTAAACTCCGTGAAACTATCCATGAAGCTTTCAACTTTTCGTCTGAGCCATCGACAAGAATGTAAACTTTAAAAGCAATGGTTTGAGACTGAATGATAAGGCTATGAACTGATGCCTCTACGTACTACATCCCATCTTAACCCCCGCATTATTATCATTTATATTATTTTCCACTTGGGTTCCTAGTGGAATATAGAGATTCAGTTGCACATCTCCATTTCACTCTGTTCCCTCCACCCTTTTAAACATGGCTCCATCATTGCCCGGAAGCTTTCATTTCTTCCTCACACCATCTCCTCCACCTCACCCTCGGACGCCCAACTAGACGTTTCACACTTGGGTTCCACTCGACGGCCTGGCCTGATGCGTGACGTCCCCAAACGGTCTTCTCAGTATATGCCCAATCCATCTCCACTCCCTTCTTCTGCATACTTGTTCGGTGATCGGTTCTTGCTTCGTTGGTTCGTTGCCATTCACAGTTCCCCCCCCCTTGCTTATTGCTTCTGGCCTTCTCATCTGATCCTCACTATCGAGTCAGCTTGGGCGTAGGTGGCAGCTGTTGATACATGTCTGTAGTTTGTTGGAAATGGTTTTTGTAATGCGCCAAGTCTCTCAACCATCACATAGGAGCACTGACTCACTTGACTGACTTAGTGTTGAAAATCCGGATGTTGTTCCACGTGCTGAGTGCAGTGTAGTGCAGTGCAGCAGATCTCCACACTGATTTCAGATTGATAAAGGAAGGCCTGTCTTGCTGTCTTTCCGATCCTGGCTTTGACATCCTCATTTGTGCCGCCACCTGTACTTGAAATGATGCTGCTAAGGTGAGTGAAAGAGATAAGTTCCTTTAGATTTCTCCCGTTGATGTTGACTGGAGCTTGTTGTTGTTAGTTGGGTATTTTCTTCACCTCTGTCTTATCTAAGTTCACTTGAAGTCCCGTCTTCGCCGCCTCTTTTGCCAACTTGTTGGTTTTGCCTTTCGATCTTCGAGTTTGTGCGACATTAAAGATAAATCATAACATAACACGATATATGATTATTGTTTTACCACGTCTTCTGTGCTTCTTTCAAATTTCATCCAATTCCGGCTACATTTTCATCTTCCTTTTTTCTACCCGTTATCTTGCAGCGTGGATGCAAGTTATGGCAAATTCGGGTGACTAAGTGAATGACTAACTACTTAGTGATGAATAATTTAGACAGTTCAACGTGTCTACAACTTATCATGGTGATATTTCAATCTTGTATACGTCCCATCATCCATTCAACTTGCATATATACGTTCCTAAGCAGTTAAGTTTAAAGAAACTACGAATATCAACTCAGTGACCAGTGTCATCCAGATAAGAAAGTATTGAGATTCATATTGATCTTGTCTACAGTTAACCATGACAAATGATGTTCGGCAATTATATGAATAACTTGCCTAACTGACATTTCACTCTAGTTTTCTGTGTAGTTTCAAGTTTCAGACCGATCTTCAGATCTCCACTTATTCAACCACAAATCTGGCGTAGGACACATCTAAACAACTCCTGCCGGAGTGTTATTTTGACGCCTCCTCGAACTGATCAGTGTTATCTCAGAACGTTTCCAACTATCAGGCTTCAATGCATTCATAGTCATTAGGTAATCGGTTCGCTTGCCATATTCACCTCCCCATGGGCAGATGTGTGTGTGAAACAAGTCTCACTAAAGTCTCCGTACTCTTATAGACTTGACTGCCGTGCAACATATAGAAAAAGCACTCCTGACTCGTAAATCCATAATTCCTAAAGCTTCACAGCAATAGCTTCATTCAGGCTACCGATATGTAGTAAGGAATAGGGCCGACAAAACCGGCATTCCACACTGAATATCGTTGGTCTTGGTAGGGTAAATGTACACACCTCTCGAGAAATTGTATCAACAGCAATGACTCACCCTACCTATTGGTTACACTGCTTCCAGTTCACTGGGCAGAGTCCCGATGGTTAGTTATATCCTCCGTGTTTCGAAGACCTGCGCAACTGATCTTGTACATATGGATTTTGTCGACTACAATTGCCATTAAGTAAACTTTGATGGTGGATCGGTTGATATCCATTGGCGCCATGAGTACACTCACCGTCGAACACAACTAGGCTCGACTCCCAACCACTGGTTGTCACGAACTTGCACTGTAAGCCCATATCAGTTAGTCACGCCACATAGAGCTTCTCTCACTTTAATGCTTTGGTACCTAACCGTAGATTGGATCTTTGCTGTCGAGAGTCATAGATACTCCCATAACGCCTTACTGAACAGGTTCAGTCAGCTTCGAAGAAATTACTTTTATTCAACTTCAAATTCAAAGTTGATATTGCTATGAATATCCTTTATCAACGTTCTTTAAAGTCCCTGCGTAGAATATTCTATGCTACAAACCTGAGTATTATGTTCTAATGTCGATAGCTGATTTTTCAGTGCGCGAAAGACAATTTAACACATTGGGTCTCATTTATGCATATCTAAAAGTTGCTTGGATCCTATGGAGCTATGGAGTATGTCGGTCATACTATGCGCTCACTTAAAAAATGTACTAGCAAACATTATCCAGTTCATTTCCAGCTCCATCGCTGAATGCCTGGCAGACTCTAGGTAAACATACTGAGATCATGTCTTGTGTTCCGAAATATACCATTTCTTCCCATATGTATATCTATCGATTAGGTTTGACCTTTGACTGCAAACTTATCTGAAACATTCTATCATTTTAATGTTGTTGCTTGTGTTATCCCATCGTTGAATGGACCGAATTGATATCGGTCTCTATTAGCATATGGGCTACTGCGTGGATACCTCGATATTGCCTATTGTTCCGATTTTATATTATATTAAATATTATATATACAAGAAATGAATATCGCTAGGTGGTTTGGTGGATAACGTTCTATAGTTTGAAGTGATCTTTTCCAAGTTCCAGTCCTTGATGGGAACAACATTGCTCACTAGAAGGCAGGTACGTCCAGCTGATGAGTCCCAAATAGGAAGAAACGCTCGTCCTAAATGAATGTACGGTTATGAAAATAAGTTGTCGAAATGACTAAGTGTGAATTTTTCGCTGCCTAAAGAATTAGAAAACCATATGATCAGAATATTACCATACTGGAGCTATTACAGAGGTATTCAAGACAATGAACTTGTACAATCCACCCTAATTGTAGAAATCATACACTTGAATAAACTTCATCAAAATATTTTGACTGAATGTTTGCTCTGATTAGCTGAAGAAAAAGAAAAAAAAACAGAGAAGAATTTACCGGTGAAATTGTTAATGCTTCTTCAAGTTCAATTTTTCTTGTGTTCAATTGTTCCAAATCTGTTTGACCTTGACTTAATTGATTCAATAAATGAGTGTTTAAGTCTTTCAACTTTGAATATCGTTCACGTTCATTATCATTCATTTCATGTATAACTGTTTCAGACATTTGTTGTTCCTAAAAATATTTTGTTTTTGAATGAAAAGATATAGGTTTATATGAATACATTTTAATAGAAAGAGAGAAGATAAATGACAAACAAACCTTTAAGATTACTTCAAACTGACATAAATTGGTTTTACTCTCTGAGAAGTTAGTTTGAATGCTGTGTATTGATTCCTATCCAAGCCATCTGCATCTTTGCATATGGCTAAGATCAACAGTCAAAGACTTTGTGAGCTAGTACCATGTCTTGGTATAGCCATCCTAAGCCTTCTTGTAACCTCATGATAGAAGGTGGCTCAATATGTTTAACACATGTTCAAGCTAACTTAGTCGAAGAGGATTCCCAACCTCATCAATCGAATTACCCGCTACCCTTCTTCTAATCTTGGCAATAGTCTAATGGTGATTATACTGAAGGTGAGTAATGATACAACCGCACGTATGCTTAAAAACCTCTTTCAATGATAATGTCTCCGATAGTTTTAGATATGGAATTCCAAAGTTGTACAGTCCCTAGAAGATTAAAAATTTTGCCGATAATGACATATGTCCAATGTTAGACAAACTCGAAGGTCTACAGGCGAAAAACAACAATTTGGCAGAAGAGGTGGCGAAGACGGGAATTCCTCCAGGTGAATGTAGAGAAGACAGATGTGATTAAGATACTCAACCAACACCAACAACAACATGCACCAATCACCATCAACGGGAGAAATCTAAAGGAACTTATCTCTTTCACTCACCTTAGCAGCATCATTTCAAGTACAGGTGGCGGCAAAATGAGGATGTCAAAGCCAGGATCGGAAAGACAGCAAGACAGGCCTTCCTTTATCAATCTGAAATCAGTGTGGAGATCTGCTGCACTGCACTACACTGCACTCAGCATGTGGAACAACATCCGGATTTTCAACACTAAGTCAGTCAAGTGAGTCAGTGCTCCTATGTGATGGTTGAGAGACTTGGTGCATTACAAAAACCATTTCCAACAAACTACAGACATGTATCAACAGCTGCCACCTACGCCCAAGCTGACTCGATAGTGAGGATCAGATGAGAAGGCCAGAAGCAATAAGCAAGGGGGGGGAACTGTGAATGGCAACGAACCAACGAAGCAAGAACCGATCACCGAACAAGTATGCAGAAGAAGGGAGTGGAGATGGATTGGGCATATACTGAGAAGACCGTTTGGGGACGTCACGCATCAGGCCAGGCCGTCGAGTGGAACCCAAGTGTGAAATGTCGAGTTAGGCGTCCGAGGGTGAGGTGGAGGAGATGGTGTGGGGAAGAAATGAGAGGTTCTGGGCAATGATGGAGCCATGTTTAAAAGGGTGGAGGGAACAGAGTGAAATGGAGATGTGCAACTGAATCTCTATATTCCACTAGGAACCCAAGGGACAGAAATTTGCCAACTTCAGTCAAGGAAATCCATTCGGGCTCTTTTAAGCTGATGTAATCTTTAGATTGTGTTCGCCAGCAAGCTTCAGTTTTTTAGATGACAGCCTGAGACCTTGTGTCTAGTTTCAGCTAGATTAATCTAACTGCAATTAGTCTGAATGATAAGGTACACTGCTGTGCGATAAATCACCGAAGTCAACACCACAGTATTCTACCCCGATGACTTGCTTCTGACCGCCTGATGCACTGTAAGTGGCCTGTGAATTTGGGTAAATTCGAATTTTCCTAGTTGCCCGCTGGTTATTGAGTGTAACGTCTGAAGTGGAGCTGGCTTGAGGAAAGTCCTGGTTCCCATTTTCTTGTATGGACCTAAATTTTCTTTGATAGTTATCCGATATCATGCAAAGCAACTATCTCGTTTAACATGTGTGCAGTGGCTTTGGAACCCCCTTAAATATCTTTTTAATTGTTGATCCTGATGTTTGACATTACATTGGTACTCCTTGAGAACTTGTGGGTATTCATTGTGAGATATAGTTGTAAAAAGACTGGTTGGTACCAAAAATAGTACATCATTTCGTAAACCTTCACCTAGTACTTCATAGTTTTCATGTACATGATGAACTTTATTCGATTGAACATTGAACGGAAATGCATAGATTTCGGTTATTGTTAATATCCTTTACTTGAGATAAAAGCTATTTGCTAACAGCATGAGCTTCAACCAAACTGTAGTGTTAGCCAATCACATCTAAATTTGAATCGACCAATCAGGATCGAGCATCTGTAGAACGTGGTATTTTGTTCACAAGTTATCAATCTGTTTTACTTTGCGTGAAGCGAACATTTCCAGATTTCCTTTCGGTTTACCATCTATACTAATTTCAGTATTAGCACTCATTTATATGAGACCATATCATTTCACATTCTAAGGTCACTCCACGTAATAATGAGCCCGAGAGTGGATCGCCACCCTTGTAAACTTCTTTTAATTCGCCAAAAACTTGAATCATACCGATGTTTCCAAGAAGTTCATGGTGTCGTTTGATATAAGTTCCTTATTTACATCGAATTACCTTCTTAGTAAACCATAGATATCATATACCGGCATGCCGATCTTCTCTTCATGTCAACAACAGAGTTCAGACTTAAAAGTTCACTCTGCCAACGAGTCGATGAGATAGCTATGCCCAACCCATTATATAACATAATGGCAGAAATCTTCATAGTTAATCTAGAAAAAATACAATTTAAAAATATAATTGGTGAAACAATGTTTTACACCACAAACGTTGACAACACTTTTATTGTTTGTAATGATTTATTTCATTGTATCTCATTTGTTGGAGTGTTTCAATAACGCTGAAAGTAAAATAAAAAAAGGATGTAAAGTTCAATTTTCTGAATATTTCAGTACCATGTAGGATGAATCGTACGCTTGAAAGGTTCATTCATCGAAATCCTATTTCACAGAGTTATAATAGTATGTCCCAGTGATAAAGTGTAGGAAGAGTTGTAAACAGCTAAAAGATGCTTACAAGATAATGGATATCCTGAAGCATTTATCAACAGATATGAAAGAACAGACGTTAACAAGTCAAGGGAAAGCTTATATTCATTCGTCTCAATTTCAAGGCACTATCACCAGAGAATTGAAGATATCATTGACTACAGTCTTCCATACAGACAGATAAATTCCTGTGTACTAACCAATATGATATTTAGTCCAGTCAGAAGTTGGCAAGTAGCCTTCCTATGTTACCTCCAACTGTGTATATGTCAATTTATGTAGAATTATCAAATTAAATAGATTGGAAGAACACAAAGAAGGGCGTAACCTATTCCTAAAAGCCTATGATGAAGAGGAAGTAACACTTTGAATAGTACAATCATTTAGTATCTGAACGACATTGGATATCAGGAAGACATTATCAATCCCTTCAAGATAATAAATAAACAAAACAAACAAGTTGAATTCTTTTGAAATTTACTGTGGCCATTGTAGTATAGACCTGCTGAATAGGCAATGAGCTGCACACTTATCGTGTATGACAACTAATGATTTCACCTACCTAACTACCCAAACCTCAGTATGTGTAGTAGGAGTCGAACTATCAAGCTAGGGATTGAAAGTCGATTCTCTAGACCAACTCCATATTGACAATATATGCTTGATTGATACTAGATGATGATTGAAGGTGAAATGAGAATTAAGACCATAACCGGATTCGAACCAACTACCATCCGGTTTCCGATCCGATGCTCTACCAACAATTTTATTTGGCAAACTAAACAAACAAACTGGAAGGAATTAACTTACTTGTTTCATTTCTAATTCAATTGATTTCAATGATAATTCTCTTCTTTGACGATCTTCAAATAATATTTCTAGATTGCGTTCAGCGCGTTCATTTGCTGTGTGCACCTCTTCCCAATCCATTTCAATACTTGTTATATTATCGCCTAATGTTGCTTTATCCACAAGAGTATTATAGTCACTCAATTCACCCTAAACATATGATGGTTTGTTAGAAACCCATTAGAAAGAGAAATACAATAACTAGAGAGAATCAATTTACGAGAATAAGCTTCAAAACTTTAAAATGGATATTATCATTATTGTTATTTTTTCCGTTGGGTTCCTAGTGGAACATAGGGATTCAGTAGCACGCCTCCATTGCATTCTATCTTTTGCAGTCTTTTGAACCTGGCGCCACGAATGCCCACAAGCTTTCATTTCTTCCTCACATCATCTCCTCCATGTCACCCTCACCTAGGACGCCCAACTCGTCGTTTCCCCTCTGGGTTCCACTCAACGGCCCAGTCTCTCACGTGAAGTCCTCAGTCGGCCTTCTCAGTATATGTCCAATCCATCTCCACTCCCTTCTTCTGTATATTTCTTGGGCGATGGGTTCTTGCTTCGATGGTTCGTTGCCATCCAGAGTTCCTCCTTTGCTTGTTGTTTCTGACCTTCTCATCTGATCCTCACTATCGAGTCAGCTTGGGCGTAGGTGGCAGCTGTTGATGTATGTCTGAAGGTTGTTGGAAGTGCTTTTCATGACGCGCCAAGTTTCTGAACCATATAGAAGTACTGACTTGACACTGGTGTTAAAAATCCGGATCTTGTTCCGCATGCTGAATGTAATGCAGTAGATCTCCACACTGATTTCAGATTGATAAAGGAAGGCCTGTTTTGCTTCTCCGATCCTGCCTTAGACATCCTCATTTGTGCCGCCACCTGTAATTGAAATCATGCTGCCTAAGTAGGTGAAGGAGATAATTCCTTTTAGATTTTTCCTGTCGATGGTGATTGGTGCTAATTATTGTTGTTCTGGTTGTTGGATGGATATCTTTATCACCACCGTCTTCTTTGAGTTCACTTGAGGTCCCGTCTTCGCTGCCCTTCCTCTTCTGTCAACTTGTTAGTTTTGCCTGTAGATCTTCGAGTTTGTGTAACATAAGACACAAGTCATCGGCGAAATCCAAATCTTTTAGGCTCTTTCATAAGTCCAGCGTATGCCCCTCTTCTCACCCTCACGGTTTGCTGCATGATCCAGTCCACCACAATCAGGAAGATGATCGGTGATAGTAGGCGGCAGCCTTGTCTTACTCCAGTCTTCACTTCAAAGTCGTCACTGAGCTTCCCATTGTGGATCAATTGGCATGCGGCGTCGTCATATAAATATTATTTTCTTGAGAAACTACTATTCTCTTTGGCTAGTACTAGAAGTTGGAACATGCAATTCACTCAACTTTTGACTCGTCAGTTGGATGTATCTACCTTTCATTGAGTGATGTTATTCTCACCGAGATTACAACCTGGGACTAGTCTTTTGAAACCAAAAAGTGTTATCTATCAGGTCAGTAAGTCACAATAACCACTTCTTGTGTGACGGTCACAACATCGTTTTGTTACTCTCCATTGTTGATTCAACTGAATCGACCGATGACTATTGACATATAGGTTCCTAGTATTTTCGTTTTTCATATTAATTACAGATAGTGGCAATCAATGCAAACCAGGGTATGTGTTTCGTCCTAGTTGAGACTCATCAGTGGTCAGTCGTTTTGGTCCAATCAACAGAGAGAACTTAAATCATTCTTACCTTAGTAAATGATTTATATAAGCTTACAACAGGTATAAACCCAAAGTTATCCATGATTTGTTGAAGTTAGGAGTGTAAATAAAGGTTTTACGTCGGATTCGAGCCAATAACTCTTGAGTTAATAGTCTAATTTGACATCAACTGAGTTGATTACCTACCAATCATTCCTCATTTCCAATTCAGTTGTCAATAGTTTCATGTGTCTGTTGTACATATGCAGGAAATGTAACTTTCTATCAGTCATCATCATAACATCCAACCAGATCTACTTGTTTCAATCCAAATTGAGCTATATTGGGGAGATAGAAAAGCATAACAAAGTTATTCAGACTTGTTTAGATTTATTCTTGAAAACTAGTCACCACCTGTAACCAGACAAATGTCAGAAATGTCTAACAGGAGCTCTTCAATTAAGGTTCCATAAACTTTGGCATTCATAAGACTGTGGAATTTCCAAGAGACAAGATGAAACACATCAGTAAATTCTGTGTGATAGAAGAAGTTTGTATAGGATAGTCAACAGGTTTCGCAGTATCCGTGGGTATATTATCTGGAGCGGAATCATGCTCCTGTCCACCCAAAGCAAGCGAAATATTAGGCCGTACGATCCTGGAGAGAATAAAAGATGCACTGGATTCAAAATTACCACCGGAACAGGCTGGCTGGCTTCAGGAAGTACAAATCATGTGCGGACCAAGTTGCAACGCTGCACTACGCATCATCATGGAACAGAGTATAGAATGGCAGTCAGCCCTCTACCTAAACTTCATTGACTTTGAGAAGGCCTTTGACAGCGTCGACCGAGAAGTAATTTGGAAACTGCTTCCACACTACCGAATACCGCAAACCTTTATCAATTTCATTCAACAACTATATGAAGACGCCACATGACAAGTAATTCACAATGGGAAGCTCAGTGACGACTTTGAAGTGAAGACTGGAGTAAGACAAGGCTGCCGCCTACTATCACCGATCATCTTCCTGATTGTGGTGGACTGGATCATGCAGCAAACCGTGAGGAGTGAGAAGAGGGGCATACGCTGGACTTATGAAAGAGCCTAAAAGATTTGGATTTCGCCGATGACTTGTGTCTTATGTCGCACAAACTCGAAGATCTACAGGCAAAAACTAACAAGTTGACAGAAGAGGGAGGGCAGCAAATATGGGACTTCAAGTGAATATAGAGAAAACAGACGTGATGAAGATACCCACCCAACACCACCACCAACAACAAAAAGCTCTAATCACCATCAACCGGAGAAACTTAAAGGAAGTAGACTCTTTCACTTATCTAGGCAGCATCGTTTCAACTACATGCGGCACAGGCACAGATGAGGACTTCAAAGCAGCCAGGATCGGAAAGACAGCAGGACAGGCGTTCATTAACCTGAAACCAGTGTGGAGATTTTTTGCACTGCACTCAGCATGAAGCGTGAACAAGATCCGGATTTTCAACACCAATTCAGTCAAGTCAGTGCTTCTATATGGTTCAGAGACTTGGCACGTTACAAAAAGCATTTCCAATAAACTACACACATTCATCAACAACTACCTACGTTGGCTCGTTACTGAAGCTCAGATGGCCAGAATAGTAAGAATAAGCATTAAGGAACTCACTCTGAGAACGAACCAACGAAGCAAGAAACTATCGCTCAACAATTATGCAGAAGAAGAAAGTGGAGATGGATTTGGCATGCACTGAGAAACCTTCAAACATACATCAACAGCTGCCACCTACGCCTACGCTTACTCGATAGTGAGGATCAGATGAGATCAGATGAGAAGGCCAGAAACAATAAGCAAAGGAGGAACTCTGGATGGCAACGAACCACGAAGCAAGAACCCATCGCCCAAGAAATATGCAGAAGGGAGTGGAGATGGATTGGACATATACTGAGAAGGCCGACTGAGGACTTCACGTGAGAGACTGGGCCGTTGAGTGGAACCCAGAGGGGAAACGACGAGTTGGGCGTCCTAGGTGAGGGTGACATGAAGGAGATCATGTGAGGAAGAAATAAGAGCTTCTATGCTGTCGTGGAGCCAGTTTCAAAGATTGCAGAGAACAGAATGAAATGGAGACCTCCTACTGAAGTCCTATGTTTCACTAGGAACCCAAGGGACAAATAATAATAAGAATAGGAATATTTTGAACTGAAGGGAACAGTTAATGGTCGATAACTTCAGCTACCGTCAGAAAATCCAAGAAGTTCAACAGGTTAATGAAAGAAAAGTATGCAGTAGAGAAGAATGAAATTCCAAGTAACACATTGCCAGTCAACGATAAAACAAAGTTGGTTGTCAATCCCTCAGCTAGTGTTTTAAGCTCAGCAGAAACAAAGGTACCGAGGAAGAGACCTAATTTCAGTGTAACAGTTAGTGAATTGAAACCTGAAGTTTCATTTTTAAGATTGGAGTAGCAATAAGCTTAGTAGTTACGGCAGTAGCAGATGACATGTGAGCATAATATCCTCCAGTACTTGAGCGACAAGAGAAACCGAAATAGAATTTTAATAAAGATGGACAATGGCTAGCAGTGGAATTCAAAATGCGCATTTCGTCCTGTTCGAGACTCGTCAGCTGAATGCACCTGCCTCCTAGTGAATAATGTTGTTCCCACCAGAAGTCGAACTCGGGAGAGGTCACTTCAAACACCAGAGCGTTATCCACTACACCACTGAGCCGCGATAGCCACTTCTTGTGCGACGGGTATAGTTTTTAGTATAACTGCTTGTATTATACTGTCGTTGATTGGACCGGATTGATCGGTCTCTATTGGTATATAGGCTCGTGTGAGGAGGCCTCGACATTACCTATGTTCTAATCATAGTAAAGATGGATAGTAAAAACAACACAATGAATTATACTGAAACAGAATTCGCCAAAAGTAGAAAAAGAAGCTTTGAAAAACTAATTGGTAGAGCATCGGGCCGAAAACCCAGTGGTCTCTGGTTCGAGTCCGACCGCGATCCAAGTTTTTATTTCATCTTCAATCATCACCCAGTATAAATCTAATTATGTTCAGAAAGTCAAGGAACATAAAGAAATAGGACCATACGAAGAAATTAAGAAACCAATAGACACTATTATAAAGCATAGATTAGATGATATACATTTAGATAACGATGCAAAAAATGTTCAGTTTTGATGTTGACATGGCTGTGAAAGCAGTTACTTATGCGAATTCATTTTCTTAAACGGTATGCAACCGATTCAGTTAACATCTTCTATTACATGAGCTACTAAAGAGACGTATAGGCAAAAATGAACACCAGATAACACCAGATTGGCTATGTTCCCTCATAGCTCGTTGCTCATTGGTTTCTCTATCGATAAAGGAACTACATATAGTTAATAATCAGGAAGATATAACACTACAGTCAATTTAGATTATTGTTTATTGTTTACTAATAATTCAGAGTAATGCATAACTGCAATACAAAGAAAGCTCATTCTCTCTCTCATTCAGTTGAACTCTAACTGTAACAGTTAGAGACTTTATCACTAACTTAATTAAGCCACGACTGAGTGATACAAAACTAGAAATCAGAAGTCGGACTGCATTTGAGGATATGGGTACTGACCTACAGCCTCTGTGTGAACAACACTCACTGGGGTATGGACAGATGACTGATTGATACTAGAAAAATCAACGTAGAACCTTTTACAGGGGTTCATTGGCTCAAATTGAAATAATTCACAGAAGTATACAAAGAACAGGCACTCTACATCTTGCCATATGACTCAGGTCAACAGTCAGGGACTTCATCTACTGGTTCCAGGTCTTGGTCTAGCCACACCAAACTCTCTTCCAATCTAATTCAACTTCCTCTAGTATGGTACATCGAGGTAGGCGGTGCCTTGGGATAAGCAGTACATGTTCAAACCATCTCAATCGACTAACTTTCACAACCTCATTAATCGACTGGCCTGTCATTGTCTAGTACTTTACACCTGATCTCAAAATTGCTCACACAGTGATTCCACCACACGTGAGTGATGCTGCGAAGACACTTATGATGTAGCTGACGGCTGAATCTAGAATAAGACAAAACGCATCTTGAATTTCATAACCAGATACTAAATAGACCACAGACCCTAAGCTTGTCTCGTTACAGACAAATAACAATGTTGTTATTCACCGTAGACTGACACCAGTTGGAGGAACAAAGGAAACCTGGGAACACTAGACAGCTGTTTCGTCCTAGTATGGGACTCCTCAGCAGTGCGCGTCCACGATCCCGTCAGGGATCGAGCCCGCGAGTTTCAGGTTCCTTGACCAGCACGCTCACATTGACCCAATGGCTCAATGCTAGCTTGTTTCCGAAGCCATATCCAACTGAAAGTGTATATCTTTAATAGCAGTTCAAAGCAAGAATAAACTGAATAACTCATCAGTACTTAAGATTCCACAGATCATACAAACATGATTTTGTGGGGAGTTCAGGTTTTTCATTAATCCATAATTCACAGTGCCTATCTTAAGTCAGTCACCGTCTCGCCAGAACTTTACAATTTCATAGCCAGTCAGCAGACATAAGTGTATGCTGGTGAGGAGATATGAAACAGGACGAAATAACTCCTCAATTTCCTCGAATTTTTAATAGCTTTTCAACTTATATCAATTTATGATGATTACTACTATGAAATCAACGAATCCACGTATATATGTACATTTGAGAAAAAAAATTGTGTATATATGCGTACTAAATTACCTGTAATTGTTTAATTTCGTAGGCTAGTTTCTCAGCCATTTGCTCATATTGTACAAAACTAGCATTCTCTTCTTCAGTTTCCATTAACTGATGAATGATTGTACCAATCTCTGAGTTTAATTCATTGATTTTTCCTCTTAATAATCCAAGAAAATAGGATTTATCTTCAATTTGACGTTTTGGTCCACGTATTGCATTTTTTAACCCTCCCAGACCTTTAATCATTTCAATATTTTAAATAAAAGCAAGCAAACAATACCTACCTTGTTGAGTAATTGGTCTATCTTCAACACACAGCATAGTGTTTAAAGTTCCTGTACCACTAGCTTCATTTAGTGTACCCGGTCTCAAACCAGTTGTTAAACGAGATGTTATCCCTAGTTGACCTTTGATTTGAGCTGTTTTTAAACGGGATGCAGTGCCTGGTCGAATAGCGTTCATATTCAGTACAATTAAATTTAAACGTTATATCTAAAATATAAATAATAAAACGTAAATTAATCTTACCATGATGTAGAAAATCAACTCCAAATTAGAGAGAAATGAGTTCCTGTTGATTGTTGTGTCGCAAAAAAAAAATGTAACTTATTAGTTGATTTCTACACTTGTTTAGTATTCCGTTTCTAAATAATGTTCAAAATAAATAAGGGAATAATCGTTTAAAAACTTGAGATAATGGACAAGTAAATCAATAAGTTATTTAGATGTAGTATTCATCATGAACTGACACCAGTTAGGGGAACTATTGGAAATTTGGGAACACTGGACACCTACTTCATCCTAGTAGTAGACACCCTCTGCTCGGCCAGGGGTAGAACCCAGGACGTTCAGACTTCACGGTGAACGCGTTAACCATTCAGCTAGTCGTTTGGTCCCAAGTGGTTCACAATTTCCAACTTTTGTCAATTCACGACATAATGCGACTGTCACCTAAGATCTTCAGTTAGCATCCACTTCACTTCCTAGTGATGAATACTATGCCTAAATTAAAAACCCCTTTCATCTCAAAAATAAGTTATTCTTCATTATTTATTGATACACCGTTACTCACTGAGAAACAGATAAATTCAACTGATGAGTCCCGAATAGGACGAAATGCGCCAATTGGACGCCACTGCTTTCCACCTCCAAGTAAATTATAATTTATCTCCAGTTAATAACATTAAATCAAACCAGTTAATTCAGTCCATTAGAAACTACATAGAGTCTGAGAACCGAAAAGATTTATTATCTCTATTCACGTTTCTACAACCTCGAGATATGGTTTCCGTGATTCTAATTCTCTCGCCCCCTTTATGACAAGGATCGTAAACATTCTGAAGATCCGTAAACACTGCATCCAAATAAGTTGCTTTCAAAGGTTATTGTTCTGTCCCATCCTATTAGGTCAGTGTATCTAACTGCATGCATAGCTACAGCCAAGCTTTTTTGTAGATTTCTTATTATTTATTTGTCCCTTGGGTTCCTAGTGGAATATAGGGATTCAAGTTGCACATCTCCATTTCACTCTGTTCTCTTCAGTTATTTGAACCTGGCTCCATCATTGCCCGGAACCTCTCATTTCTTCCTCACACCATCTCCTCCACCTCACCCTCGGACGCCCAACTAGACGTTTCACACTTGGGTTCCACTCGACGGCCTGGCCTGATGCGTGACGTCCCCAAACGGTCTTCTCAGTATATGCCCAATCCATCTCCACTCCCTTCTTCTGCATACTTGTTCGGTGATCGGTTCTTGCTTCGTTGGTTCGTTGCCATTCACAGTTCCCCCCCCTTGCTTATTGCTTCTGGCCTTCTCATCTGATCCTCACTATCGAGTCAGCTTGGGCGTAGGTGGCAACTGTTGATACATGTCTGTAGTTTGTTGGAAATGGTTTTTGTAATGCGCCAAGTCTCTCAACCATCACATAGGAGCACTGACTCACTTGACTGACTTAGTGTTGAAAATCCGGATGTTGTTCCACGTGCTGAGTGCAGTGTAGTGCAGTGCAGCAGATCTCCACACTGATTTCAGATTGATAAAGGAAGGCCTGTCTTGCTGCCTTTCCGATCCTGGTTTTGACATCCTCATCTGCACCTGTGCAACCTATAGCTGAACCAATGCTGCCTTTTCAGTTCCGCCGTTGGTGGTGGTTAGTACTTGTTGTTGTTGGTTGGGTATTTTCATCACATCTGTCTTCCCTACATTCACCTGAAGTCGCATCTTCGCTGCCTCTTCTGCCACTTTGTTAGTTTTCGCATGTAGATCTTCGAGTTTATGAGACATCAGACACAAATAATGGTTGAAATCCAAATCTTCTAGGGTCTTTTCATCAGTCAAACAGCGTATGCCGATCTTCTTGCTCCTCACAGTTTCTTGCATGATCCAGTACACCACAATCAGAAACCTTATCTTATTAGAATCTAATAATCTTGATTTGGCTCAGGTTGTGCTCGGACAGTCTCACTAAAACAGATTGACTACCTTGATCTATGTAGTTGATATGCTAAGTTACTTTGCTTTATCGAATCAATAAGCTTTTTAAGATGAAAAAGCTTATCTTTGAGTGAGCTTTTAGGCTTAAACGCAAATTCAATCTCAACCTTATTTAAAATTCGCTGTAAGATTTCGCAGATGCCTTTCGTGTACCTATCGCCGTCATTGTTATCATTATTATTAGCATCTACGTTACCACTACCGTGGATATTTGTTTAGCAAGTTCTTATGAATTTATCGAAAAATGTAGGTGGTAGCTATTTAGGCCTAGAATATCCTGATTGTATCTGACTTTTAGCTCCAATTCTCTGTTCTACTAAAACGCCTGTTTACCTGGTGAGATGACTTTAAGTCAAATAGATATGAAATGCTATGAGGTTGAAAAAAATCAATAAACTAATCCAAACTTTTGGAACTTTTGGCATGTGTCACACATCTTTTTTGTAATGCCTGACTTCAGGAATGATCTGTAGACAAGTTTAGCTAAAATATACTAGCATCTTCTGGAGTGAAATTAAGAAAGTAGAACTGAATTTCATTTTCATAACTCTATGAAGTACTTTTCATAACCTCTTATATGATAAAGATGCCATAAATAGTTTTACGGTGATAAGCGGCCACCTAATCGTAGCCATTCGAGACTACCTGTAAAAATGTTGTCCTGGAGATTGGATTCATTGTCATTACACCGGTTTGTTTGTATACTTGAACATCAAACTGACAACGGATGTAGTTTATGTAATGAAAGAAAAAGACAAACAAAACCAATGTTGAACCTCGCCTACCTCAAGTTGCCACAGTAGTATTCGAAGAAGGGGGGGTAGACAAAGATTCATATCAAAGTAAACAAGGTTTTATGAGGCAATAATCAACTTGAAGATAGCCGTTAGCGCAAATATTCAAGCTCTATGAAATGTTAAGGAGAGAATACATCTGCGCCACTGCGACTGATTTTCAGCCTTATCACTAGGAGTCCTTAATCACTGGTTCGTTTCATTTCGGAGACCTCAACTAGGCAGTCTGTATCTCCCTACATGACTCAGACCAACAGAGAGAGACTTCATGCATTCGTGCAACGTCTTGGTCTGGCTACATTGAGCCTTCTTTCAACCCAATCCAACTCTCCCTTCTATGGCATGCTGAGGTAGACGGTGGCTCAGCATACACAGTACATGTCCAAGCTATCTCAACCAGCGAAGGTTCACAACCTCACCAATCAAACCTGCCTAGTACCCTCCACTGGATTTCGGCACTGTTCTCACGGTAATCACACCATACCCGAGCAATGCTACAAAGACACCTTTAATCGGAACCCTGCAACCACTTCATATCTTCTGTCTTCAGCGGTCATATCTTACAGTCGTATAAGAGGAGAGAATAGAGTGAAGTACGGTATACCCATCCCTTGATAGGTATTCGGATATCTCGCCAGAAGCCGTCAGATATGGCACGAGTTGACGAATGCCAAACGGGACTTCTGTATCTCAGCTGAGATTTTGTCACCAACCATCGCATTCAGGCTGATGTAACTACTCTAGTAAGTGAACTGGATAACAGAGGAAGAAAACTATTAATCCTGTTGATAAACAGTGTTGGTCATCGCCTGTATAACTGTCCTTAAGACTAATGAACTGACCATTTTCAGTCCTTCTATGTAGTACAGATCAGTGTATTTTGCCTTCTAAGAACTCTGAAAGTGATAATAATCGAGCATAAGTGCTCATAATACTGAAAAGTTCTAGAAATGTTCAGTAAACGTCAAGTAGCCTGCATTTCAAATCGAATTAGTTACTATTAGTTTTTCAAATGTGCAAAATATACTCCAAATCAAAGATAACTTTTCAATAGCTCTCAACAACTCTAAAGATATCTCTTAGAATATATCACCAAGTAAGGAATATAGGGAAAAAGGACTTCCAAATTTGTTTGACATCAAAATCTAAGCCAATAAGTGAAGTAATCTGCATATTTTATCAAAAGGGGTCAAAGATTCTCTAATTTTATAGTCATATTTTTCAGTGTGTTTTACATTTAGATCTAGTCAAGCAAAATAATAACCATCTGAGATTTTAAGACTGACAGTATGTAAGCTAATACAAACATTCAATAAATAATACTTAAATTACCACTGTTGAGTCTTTGAATAGCAAACATGATATCTTCTGTTGAAATTTCATTAGGAGGAGTATGATGGCTTGAACTGGTGTACTTTGGTGCAAGGTAATGTAACGATCTACCAGTTTATCTGTTTATACTTGATCAAATTAATCTGAGGTTAATAGTGACACAAATAAAAATTCATATCAAAACTGCTGAGAACGAAGTATCCACTAGTACTTCATTAGGCAGTAAATCATGACCTTCCTAAAAGACATGGAGTACCAGAGATTTTAACAGAGGCTACTGTTAATTTAACGGACAATCAATATAATTTTTCACCTTCATTATACAAATTGCCATTAGATGACTGTAATGAATTATTGTATCTGTGCTACAGAAAACTATAAAACCTTGCGTTTTGCAGATATCAATTTTGATTACAGTACTTAATCGAAAAAATCCTAAAAGTTTACTTTGGATAGAATCTAAATAGGATGTAATAGGTCAGTTTACTTCCTTTGTTTGTAATCATTCATATTCTGTGGCATTACTTTTTAGCTACGAATCTCCTGCCTGACCTCATCCTTACCATTTATTCCCACATTGTCATGTGGTTCTCCTTCTATCTCAATAAAAAAATGGTGGTAGCTGAAATTTGTTAGCGATCATTATGAATGGGAGAATACCCACACAAATCTTCAATAGTGAGATAACTTTGCAGACAAATTCATGAATTTCCACTAAAAGATGGTAACTGTCAACCAAATGACTTTTCCTTTGCATAACTGTAAACTAGAACACTCCTATTTCTGCCACTTCTGTTTTAAGTTCTCAGTCGTGAGAATAGGAGACCAAGTGACTTATAA